GAGACTCACAGCAGAGTTTTTCTGGACTTTAGCGGACGGACGCGTTTCTCACCTGCTGGGCAGAAACGATGAGGTTCAGTCCCGTCTCTTTGGGCAGGAAATTCACCTCCTGCTCATAATTCACCCTCAGCTCCTTCATCAGCCGCACGGCATCCATGTTCACGGTTTGTTTTCCACCACAGTTCAGAAACTGCAAGAAAAAGCGAAGATCATTTAGCCTTTAGCCTAGCATAGTAGGCTAAAGGTAGCTTCCCTGCACATATTAGAAAAAGCTTTCAAAAGAGTCCCATTTATCATATGGTTTATCATTTATTATGACAATTTTAATTTATCAGTCATGATAAATCCTAAATAGTGATGTGTAAAAGCCATTGAAACGATCTGTACTATTTTTTTTTTGTTCTAAGGAAGTGTCAATAAATTTGAAAATATGATTAAATGCTGTTACTGTTTGCTGTTTATTGGTACTAATCACACTTCTTTGTGTGACTGGATTAGAAACAGGAATGTTTTTCTACAACAGTATTTGTTTGTGGGGCTACAATTTCTGAAAATCAGTCATAATATGAGCTAAAAAATTTTATAAATTATTTTTTATTGTTATTACAATAGTACATTAAAATATGATGTTTAAAATGTAAGTGCATATCGTCACACCGAGTTTCATAATTGGTGATTTCTCCTGCTTTTATGATGTAAAACTGGGTTTCTAAAAACAAAAAAGCACTCCGCACTTTTCAGATAAACTATTTCTGACCTCCTCGTAACGCTCTCGGTTCGGGTCGATCCCGGTTTGTGTTCCGGGGCTGCGCTGTGATGTAACCTGTCAGTGATCGGCCTCTTGGCCCGGGCAGGGTGCCCGAACCCGTCAGGGAGCCCGAACCCGGCAGGGAGCCCGAACCCGGCAGGGAGCCCGAACCCGGCCCACTTCCCCCAGCTGGACCCGGGATCCGGTGTCAGGTTCCCTCCGGCGGACGCCTTCAGTCTGACCCACAAACTCAAACCTTCGGTTTTAAACGTTTTTCCCTCCGATTTAACCAGCAAACACCGCGTTTAAACCAGAACCCGCCGGGTTCGGGTCGCTGGAATGGACCGTTACCGTCAAACTGAGCCGAACCGTTTTAAATCCTGTGGTCGGAGCGGGGGGAGGGGAACCGCTGCTACACAAACAGCCACATCCCGTCAGTCCAGCACAGACACACACTGCGCTTCTGCAGCTTCACTTTTTACAGAAATGTGACAGAAAATGCGCAAAAATGTCCAAAATGTTTGGAGATTCCGGATGAGCGGCGCTGAAGTTGGCTTCCGGTTCGGTCACGTAAACATACAAAGTGAAAAGGAGATTTCAGTTTTTTCAACAAGATTCAAGATTTACTGGCTGAAAATTCAGAAAAATGTGATATAATGAGATATTTTCAATTCTATTCATGACTGATAACAGATCAGTTTATTCTGTGGTGGTCCAGGAAACGTTCATTTTTTAAAATTTTCTGCTAACAAAACCATAAAAAGTAGAAAATTGCATCGTAATTTAATATTTCGCAAGTTGAACGTTTGTAATTTTTGTGCTTTTATCTAACAGCGAAATAACAGAGTTCAGATTAAGAGGAATCAATGTTTAAAATTAATTTATTAATATGCATTTCGCAGGCATGTTTCACAGGTTTTAAATAGTTTTTTAAGGAGCATAAATTTAATTTAAAGCAGATTAAAGTGATCTGGATCTGGTTCAGCTTTTAGAGAAAATAAAACTGTTTTTGTTTACACACAAACACGACGAACATTTAACGGCTCGGTTTTAAATGTTGTTTTTGAGGCTTGTTTCTATTCATCATAAGCTAATCGATCAGCTTCACATTTTAAACTCCAGCTGATATAAAAAATAAAATGCTCCAGATTTGTAAAAAGCTTCGGAATAGCCCTTTACTGAGGCTCTGAATCGGACACCATCTTCGTCGTCTTTCCGGAGTAATTTTCTGTTATGGGAATAACAGCTTGATAACGGTTGAACATCATTCATATATTAATATTATCGGTAACATGTCTGTAGCTAAAAGACCATTGTTGGCTGTCTGTTCTTCCTGGGGGGATTTCTTAGCTGAAACCGAATCTAAGCGGAATATTTCCCCGAAACAACTCGGTGTCAGAACGAGTTAAAAGCTGGGAAACACTTTAAAATGGTTCTCCTACCTGTTATTGCTGGTTAAAGCCACATATCTGTCGTCTGTTGTCGTTTATTCCTTCCAGTTTACTCCCCTCTTCTCCTCCTCCTTTTTCTTTCCTCTCTTTGTTGATGTTCAGACTAGCCCCGCCCACATATCCTAGCAAAACCGCAACAACCAATCACAGCCTTGGTTGGCGTTAGCAACCGCCTCCTTCTAAGGGCTAATCGCATAAATCAACGGTTGCAACGACGATTTTACCAACTTCTTTCACTTTACTTCGACCTAATATATCCATATAGATCCTCTAGGTGTATCATCTGTTGAGATATATTAAGAATGGCTGAAATCTAAAAGCTCTTCGGCGAGACGCACCCCCCTGTGACTGACTTTTCCATTAGCCAATCAGCAACCGGCAGCTTGTTGTGTTCAAATAGTCCGCCCAAAATTCTACATTCTGATTGGTCTAGGGAAACCAATGCTCCTGACGTAATAAGGCCATTACGTAGTTGTATTTGACAGCCTTTTAACAACTGTTATCAACCAAACTTGGTATTAAATCTAAAAACAATGTCTGTAATCATAAAAGAGACTTACTGTCTTCTGTAGGACTCTGATGAAGATGATTTATGTAAAAATAGGTCATTAGTTCATGGTTAAAACGTTAGAAGAGCCTTACAGGCTAATTAAAGTGAAACACACACCCTTTTTTTTTTGTTTTAATTGTTTTTATAATTATTTTCTTGCATCACGAGTACTTAGGTCTGTTTTTGTTCCATAAATACTATTAGGGAACAAAAAAAGTACTTTTCCATCATACTAAACTGCGAACATTTATGTACATATTTGTTCTTTTTATCTCCTCTAAGTCTATATTTAGTGTCAGTAAAAGGTAAAATCCTTGTTTGTACAAATGAAACGCCTTATTTACAGTGGAATCGTTGCATAACAATACACTGCAAAACACAAGGTGCGATTGTTTCTCGCGTTAGCTCCGGCCGGAGGTGGGCGGGGTTTCATCCGCTCCACCTCTCTCCTCCCAGTCCCCTCCTCGGAAGTAGACGTCCCGTCTATATTCCCGTTCTATTTTTTATATATTTATATATCAACCCCTCTACCCTCAAACTCACAATGGACGATTAAACCGCAGCACGGTCCTCGATTCCACCGTCTTTCTTCCTGCTTGGATCGAGAGACCGGATGAAACCCAACTGTGGTTTTCTCCGCTTCGCAGGGGAGTAAGACGGCTCCGTCTACTTCCTGGCGCTGACTCAGGCATTTAAATGTCCCTGTGTTGTTGTTAGTGTTTATTATGGCATACAGAAACTAATCGCTTTTATTTCACCCAAACGGGAAGCTCTGAGTCCGTTTCCAGTACATATTTAAACCTTAAATCTGCTCTTTGTGTCCGTGATGAGCTGCTAGCTGCGCTGTGAAATTAGCTGCGTTCCAGAAAGTAGTCTGTTTCATTTTCAGATGCACCTGCAGACTGAGATCTGGAAATTTCCCTCATTTCTGCCCCACCTTCCAGGTGTTTTCCAACCTGTCAGCAGCCCCGGTTGTTTCTGCAGCTCTGTGTAAAATTAGCTACTAAAATCATTACGTTTTATGGACAAAATCCAATCCTATTGACAAATTATCGATCCAAAGATACTATAGGATGACTTAGATCAAGTCTTGGGATGGTCTAGTCAAAGTCGAGATCTAAATTCTGAAAATAGAGCTTTCTATCCAGTCTGACTGAGCTTAGATGTTTTTTGCAATAATTAACATTTTTCAGCTGCATGTCAGCAAAAACTGATTTAAAGTATTGATCCGTGTCTTTATGCAAATGTTAGTTAAAACAGCAGCAGGTAAATTTAAGTTTTGATAGCAAAATTTGAACAATAATTTTACAAATTACCATATTTTTGTTCAGCTGCGATAGTGTCAGATGTTGAAACGTGTCGGATTTTCAAAAGCTGAATTTCTTACATTGAAATGTGGAAGAAAAAATTTAAAAATCTCAGAAATTCAATATTTAAACGTTTTAGATTTTGCCCTACAACTTCAGAAATCTTTCATAATTAATGTTTTACCCCATTTTGCTGGTTAATATATTACTTTTATTAGATATTTAGGTCCAGATTATCATAAAATTTGATATGTTTGCCAGTAAAAACTAATTTTTGAGTTACAAAAGCATAGCCTTACATTTTCAAGTTTGATTTAAAGGTGCACTGATTACAATTTTCTGTCTGATCATCAATCTTTAAAGATCCTGACTTGGCAATTCCTATTTGGACAGAAACCATTAAGAGCAAATGGGGACAGTGTCTGATTTTAGACTTTTATGGAGGAAGATCGATTAGCTTCACATGTAAATATCGGCAGATCGGCAATTTTACAAAATTAATGTGGCAGTATTATGTAGTGTCATTTTATACACAATGAGCTAACTGTTACCTTTGATGGTTTTAAAAGTGCTACGTGTAACAAGTATGACTTAAAATATATTTAATTAGTAATGTAACGCCTTAAAACTGGGCTTCTGTCTTTTTAAGAAACTCCTGCTCTCTGAAACTCTGCCTTTATTAACCCTTTGACAAAGCGTCTTTTACCACTGTCGCTCTGAGAAGCAGCTCCTATAATGAGCTCAGCAGGTCTTTGCTAATTGCTTCTGGCTAGTCTGAAGGAGCTGGGTTTAGAAGGCGGGGCTAGGTCCACCCAGGCGTTTTGAACGCATGAGCATAAAAACACACGTTGTGTTTACGTGAAGCTGATCTGTGTGTCATCATGGCGTGTGTGTGCGTGTGCGTGCGTGCGTGTGTGTGTGTGTGTGTGTGTGTGTGTGCGCAGGTAGCTGTATCCAGTGGGGAGGTCGGCTCGACCCGGGGAGGCCAGAATGAAGTTCGCCCAACCCTGGGGACGCCAGAGGCTGTCTTTTCTCCTGGAGAAGGCCGCCTCTAGGGAAGCCCAGACGTGGAAAAGCTACGTGGCCAAGAAGCCCACCTCCCAGGTCAGGACGGCGCCACTGCAGAAACTCCCAACACGTTTCTAGAGCAAATGTCTCCAGAAATAAGGCAAAACTAACTTACAAGTTAGTTTTCAGCAAGAAATCGGAGCTTGTTTTATTTAAAAACGAGACATTGTTACCACATTATTAGTGAAATAATCTGATTTCTTCATTAATATTTAGGAATTATTGACTTTATTTCTTGCTGGAAAGTTGCTTGTAAGTTAGTTTTCTTCTTTCAGGTGTTTTAACACAAAAACTGTTGAAGTAACAATAGCAGGACTTCAATATATTTTTAATAAGAAATTACTCAAGTAAAGAAGTATTTGGTAAAAAAGTGATTCTATTACTGAATAACTGATCAAATATTTAAAAATTACATCATCAGATGAACCAAAATATAAAGTTAAGTAGAAATGTGAGTATTTTAAGGACCAAAATGACAATAATTTATAAAAGTAACAATAAATAAGGCAATAACTTTAACACTTGAAGTTATTTCAGGGTGTGTGTTATTTTTCATTTATTGGGAAGAAAATCCAGAAATTTTGCTCCAGTAAGAGCAGAAATACTTCATAATAAAAGTACCCAAAGTACAGTGTAGTAAAAATATTCCTAACAGTTCGTTTATTTCAAAAACTGAATTTATTTTAAATTTGGTTTCTGACTGGGGGGAAATCCGCCGTCAGAGATTTCCCACTGTGGAAACTGGATGTTTCTGGCTTCATTCTGGATTTTTACGTCACTGATTTCAGTTGGTTTTTAGGGGAAAACCTGAACGACGTCAAAAACAAACTCATTTCTGCTTTTTCTTCCCTTTCAGTTATGAAACGGCAAAAAGTGGGAGGCGTTGACTCTCTCTCTCATATACATGCAGATACATCCATATGCAGGTCAAAGTCGACTTTGGTCAAAGTTTCTGTTTGTTGTTTTTGACTGAAGGAGAAATGCAGACAGCGGCGGCCATGTTGGAGCAGCAGTCAGTTTTGTGTTCATAAATTTAACTTTATTAACTTTTGCAGAGGCACCAAACCTCCAGGTTCTGAATAACACATTAAAACATTAGAGTTAGCTGCTACATCTTTAGCATTGATATGCTATTTTGGGCTAGCATAGCTTCGCTGATAGGCTAACTCCTTTTAGCAGAACTTGGAACACACCAGAAGTCTTTTCTGGCGACCAATCAGATCATTTTCAGAAGCAGAAATTAAAACCCAGCGGACAGAGCGAAGCTTTTCCCATCGCTGCTGTTAGCGGACGTCGTCTGTGCGTCAGATTTACGGGCGTACCAGAAACGCGCAAATACAAATGTTCCACCCAAAACTTTTACAAAATACAAAAGAAAATTAAATTATTTGTGTTAAATTTTTAATGTGTTAATTAATTAAAATTAATGTGTTAAAATGTTTCCCTGGAGTTTAATAATTAACAGACATAATGAATTTGTCAATTTATTTGGATCCAGAAATGGAGGAGAGGTGAGAGGGAATCATTTTATTTTTCTTCTGTCTCTGTCATGTTTTCTTGTATTTTATTTCGACTTGAGTTTTAGTCATTCTGTTTGTGCAGCTCGGTCCAGTCAATAGCTGCTGTTTCTTTTAAATAGATTTGGTTTAGGAATCGAAAGCAAAACAAACCAACATTCCAACCCAGTTTCTAATTATTAAATGCCATAAATACCATCCATTCATTCACCGGTTTATAAAAAACCAACCAACCACAGAGAATTTTATCCTTAAAAATGTGTTTTATTTTGTTTCCTCGCGTCTCCTTGAGTGACGTGTTTCCAAAGCGTGAGGTTAATGTTGCGAAGCGATTGTTAAACTGTTGACAAATTGTTCGGTTGCTCCGGTCACGTGAGTCTGGGTGGCGTTTCGACTCAGCGTTTCACAAAAGACACAAATAAAACCTGCTGCTGTGACACACATTCAGGAAGCAGCAGAAAGACTGAGTCAGAACCAACCAGCTGACAGGGTGTGTGTGTGTGTGTGTGTGTGTGTGTGTGTGTGTGTGTGTGTGTGTGTGTGTGTGTGTGCTGCAGCACGATCAGCTGGTCTCACCCTGTTGGCGCTTCGTCACCTGTTTGTTTGAGACGTGTTGTCAGATCCTGGACACGCCTTAATTCAGCTGCTGGTGCAAAACACAGTCACTAAATTCAAACTTCTTCCCCTGTGGTTTGTTTGGTTTTAGCTGCTCAAAAAATAAAAATACAATCTGAATATCCTTGAAAGATACTAACATAAAAGGCCTTCAGTGTGACTTTAAGAAAACAAAAGAACATTTTCTAACTTTTTCGTTCTCAACTGTTTTTTCGGCCAAATTTTCAGCATTTTTTGATTTGTGACTCAACGGCCGAACAAAATCATTTCAAGGTACCACAAATGGCCCCTGAGCCACACTTTGAACACCCGTGTTTTTCCAGATCTCGCTCTTCGCTTCACTTTGTTTACATCCATTAATAAAGAAAGCGAAGCTTCATTTGACCTTATGACCCCACAGAGAGGCTTCTTCCTGGTGCTTGAAATCCTTACAAGTTCTTGAAAATCCTTGAATTGAGTTTTTAAGGTTTGGAAAGAGCTTCTTATTCAGACTAAAAGATCTTATCTAACATTTGATTAAAAACGTTACTTACAGTTGAAATCAGACATTTTTATACATCTGTTAAACAATAAAACTTTATTCTTTTTAAGTTAAATCTAAACTTTTATTGTTCAGTAAATTTAGTCCAATTATTTCCATTTGCAAAATGTCTGAAAACCTGAAGAGAACATTTATTTTAATTTTGAACATTTACTGTTAACTTTTAATTTGCTTTTATTTTATATGTTAAGTCAAATGTTGAAATCATTTTGTTTTGTTAAATTTCTGGTTTTACCATAAAAATACTTTAATAATAACTCTAATCGCACTTCCTGTAAAATAGTTTCAAAGCTTTTGAAGTGGCCGTTGTGATGGTGACCCGTTTTCCCGCTCTCAGGATGCAGACGTCTCCCCGGCGCAGCGGGACGAGGCGGTGCGCTGGCTGACGGAGCTCCACGGCCGGCTGCAGCTCTACCCGGAGACCCTGGTGTTAGCCGTTAGCATCCTGGACCGCTTCCTGGCTCCCATCAAGGTACCGAGACAACAACCTGGTTCTGGTTCTGGTTCTGGTTCTGGTTCTGGTTCTGCCACCTGACACAGGCATCAACGTCTAATCAAAACAATATCACCCATAACTAATCTGTTTTAGCAATTCAGCACAAAATCAAAACTTTTTTCCTTCCACTCAACTTTTCTGTTGACTCAGTGAAAGAAAACAAACTGGATGTTTAAAGCAGAAACTTTTCCATGTTATGAAACATTAAACTCTGAATACATAACAACTGACAATTCTGATTTTACCAGGGCTGGTTTCATGTGTTTTTCATCGATCAATCGATTGATTATTTGTTCTCAGGCCCGTCCAAAGTACCTGCGCTGCATCGCCGTCGCCTGCTTCTTCCTGGCTGCCAAGACCTGCGAGGAGGACGAGGTAAACGCCGCCTTGAGCCAGCGCCGCCGCAGGACCCTCAGGGAGAGGCTCACCGTGTGTGTGTGTGTGTGTGTGTGTGTGTGTGTGTGTGTGTGTGTGTGTGTGTGTGTGTGTGTGTGTGTGTGTGTGTGTGTCAGTGTGTTCCCTCTCTGAAGGAGCTGGTTGCCTGCAGTAACTGCGGCTGCTCTCCGTCAGAGATCCTGAGGATGGAGAGACTCATCCTGGACAAACTGGACTGGGACCTGCACACCGCCACCGCGCTGGACTTCCTGCACATCGTACGCGTCTGACACACACACACACACACACACACACACACACACACACACACACACACACACTTAGAGCTAAAACGATTAATTGATTATCGTTACTAATCTTATTGATGCAGAGGAAAATTAAATCTGACTTTTCTTAACATTAAAAGCAGAAAAATGTTTGAAATCTGATTTCAGTAACGATTCATAAAAAGATTAAATTGCGATTCAGTTTTAGTTGTTCTCGTTAATCACATCTTGTTATCTAAATTCTAATCAGATAGAAATGAATCCATTTCATTTTGATTAATCTGTTCACTAAATCAATATTGTTGCAGTTCAGGCAGCAAAATGTAAAAATGAATTTAATTTATTTTTTATCATATTGCATAAAAATACTTGAGCAGTTAAATGAAAAAAATCTTTGTTTACGTCTGAATAACTGATTATTCAGTTAATCACTGATTAATCGTCTGAATAATTGATCACTAGAATAAATTTCATCCTTTGGTTTCTTTAAACTAAAAGTTTTTTCAGTCTCTGAAAATCAAAAATAGTTTATTGAAGGGAAGTTAAAGTTGTTGTGACTCAAATTATTCAGTTTATATGTCATAGATTAAAGTAGATGACAGACATTGATCCTCGTTTTGATCCATGGAGTCGTTTCTGAATCGGCTCAGCAGTGCCACCTGGTGGCAGGAAGTGTGAACAGCTGTGATTTGTGCCTCAGTTCCACGCGATGGCGACGTCGTCTCGCTCCGGCTTCCTGGACTCCGTCGGGTTGAACCGCTCCCAGCACCTCGGCCTCCTCACCCGCCGCCTCTACGCCTGCCTGGCTGACCACGCCCTCATGCAGGTGGGCCGCCGCCGCCGCACCGCCGCTTCCTGTTTGTGCGGCTGGTTTCTGACTGGCTGTGATCTGATCTGCAGCTGAGGGGATCCATGCTGGCCCTGGCCCTCATCAGCCTGGAGCTGGAGACCTGCTGTCCTGATTGGCTGCCGCTCACCATCAACCTGCTGAGGAAGGCTCAGGTGAGTCCAGACAGGACAGGCGGAAAGGTCAAAGGTTAAACCTTTATCGGGTTTCACCTGGAAGATAAATGGACTCAACCAGAACCAGAACCCGGTCCCAGGTTCTGAATCAGAAACCATGGAGATTAATTTCAGATGTTTGGATCAATTTGGAGGAAATAAGTAAAAAAAGATTTTATTCCCTAAAATGTTAAATATATGTTAATAAATCTCTTTCCTCACTTGTCCTCTACTATTCTCTCTCTCTCTCTCTCTCTCTCTCTCTCTTTTTCTCTCTCTCTCTCTCTCTCTGTCTCTTTTTCTCTCTCTCTCTCTCTCCCTCCCTCCATCTTCTCCTCTATCAGTTTCATCTGTTTAGCTGCCTCTCAATGTGCCTGACTAAAATCATTCCCATCTCAGTCTGAATCCTCCAATCAGAGCCGTCGTCATTAAATCTCGCCGCTGTGAACCCGCCTGCATCACCGTGGTGACCAGGTGTAACTCTTCCTCTCCGCTCCTCTTCCTCAGGCGGACAGCTCGGCGCTGATCCGCAGCAGAGAGCTGGTGTCACGCAGCCTGTCCACCCCCAGAGCTTCCCTGCCTCCCAACACCGTTTACATCTTCCACCCCCTGCAGCTCGCCGCCCCGACCCGCCGCCCGCCGGGTAGGTTCCCTCCAGAACCGGCCGGGTCCAGAGGAACCGCCAGAACCAGCCAGGAAAACTGGCTTACAGCCACAAGTAGCACGATGTCTGGAAAAAATACAAATATTTATTCAGACGATGAACTAAATATTTGGTCTAATCTATTATTTAGTTTATTAACAGATTAACTGATTATTTTGACTCTTTTGTGTCTTTTATGGCCACAATAAATCATTTCAGCTCTGATTCTTTACATGATGCGGTGAAAGTTGCAGAGGGAGTGAATGTGGTTCTTCTTGGTCTGCTCTGATCCAGGGACCATGGAGACGTCCAGGGACCAACCCGACCCGACGGCGGCGGCGGCGGCGGCCGGAGAGGAGAGCAAAGCTCCGCCCCCTTCGCCAAAACACCTGAAGCAGCTGCAGAAAGTGACGCTGCGCTGCAAGGCCTCCACCAAGCGCAAGGTGAGGCGTGGAGCCGCGACCGCCGCCACGATAAAGATCCACTCTCCTTCAAACCGTTGTGCTGCAAAATGTTCCGTTTGTGCTGCTGTCATTCTGAAGATGCTAAAAAGCTAAAAAAATAATTTAAGTTAATCTGCATCGATAATCCCTGCTGACCTGGATTCTTTTTTATCTGAAAAAATAAAAAATGTTGCTGCACAAATAATGGACACTTAATGAGCAATAATTCATTAGATTTGTAAATGTGGACTAGTTGACCTTTGACCTCTGGAAACATCTGCAAAATGATGGCAGCACAAACGTTTCACTGCGGTTAAAACGCGCCGCAGCATCAGAGCCTCACTGACCTCCGCCCGCCTCCAGGTGGAGCAGATGGACGTGGACGATTTCTACGACGGCATCAAGCGCCTCTACAACGAAGACGTCACCGCCGCCGTCCACGAGGGGGCGCCGCCCGCAGCGGGGGGCGGGGCTTACGGCGGCGGCTCCTCCCCCTGCCCTCCTCTGCAGCCGGTCGGCGCCTCGTAAAAAACGGATCCGTTCAGCTGGAACTGAGCGCAGCTCCCATCAGCCCCTGCAGCTGGAAAACAGAGCAAAAAAAAACTAAACATCCAAAACGTAAAAAAAAATCTGCTTCTGATGTAATTATTCTGTTTGTTTCACACAAAAAATATTTAAACATGAAACTTCCTGAAACACCTGAACGCGTCGCTGAAGCTTTCACCTGATCCAGTTTTCCTGTCTGCATGTTTCCTCCTTTCTGTGGTTCCTAAAATGCGACGACTCAGAGAAACTCGGTGCCATTTCTTCATGTTACATTTAAAAAGCTTCCAGCTGCCAAAAGCCGGTTTTGTTTCTTCGGTTTGTCACCTTGAAGCGAATGCATGAGAAACGTTTCGTTGCTTTGAGGCCGTTTGGTTTTTCTGAACAAACCCGACCAGCGATTCTCCGGTCATCATGGAAGCTGCTGCTCCTCTGGACAGACGTCCGTTTCTCCTGGACAGACGTCCGTTTCTCCTGGACAGACGTTCACAGAGACGATATTCTCTCCCGTTTTAACTTTGTTGAGATGATTTTTCCTCAGTGTAAAAAGCTCTGTTGTTGCTGCTGCAGCTGCTGCTGCTGCTGCTGCTTCAGGACCCTGATCACTAAATAAAGACCTACAACCAGAGTCCTGCTCTCCTGCTGCCTCATTCGGACCTAAATAGACCAAACGTAACATTACAGGTAACGTTAGAGCAAAATCACAGGAAGAGTCCAGCTTCATGTTGGTCCATTTAAAATGGAAGGAGCTGTTACACCTGAAACAGCCACCAGAGGGCGCATGTTCCAACCACCTGAAGCATGGAGGTGGACGTGTCATGGCTTGGGGATGCAGGACCAGAGCGTCTCTAATCTGACGCTGAAAAATTATCCATAACACACCAGTAGGTTCACCATTGGCCTAGTCAAAGCCCAGCTCAGTCTGAGTCTTGAACCTTCTTACTGAAGGTATTTCAGTAAAGTCAAACTTTTTCCCTTTCCAGAAAGCATTATTTTGTTTAATGAATAACTCTTAAGATGTTTATTTGCAGTTAAATCATTTTCTCACCCAGAAACGTATAAAAAAAATGAATTTTGAAAGATTGTATTTTTTCACAACTGCAGCTTCGTGTCTCCACAGCAGCAGAAAGAAAACTAGATAAACGATTCAAAAATACATTTCTGCTGATGGTTATTTTTTTATTTAGCACTTTAGCATTTTTGATAACTTTGAATTTTTCAGTATAAATTCAAAAACACTCATTTATTTTCTGTTTTCTAAACTTTCAGTTGATTGAAATTCAAATTTTGTGTTGATAATTTGATTATAAGATTTATATTCATGCTCTTCTATTGTACAATACAAGATTTGCAAAATAAGAGTTAGAAAAACTGTAAATCTAAAAGCGTTGGTGAACGGTCTATTCAAAGTAAATTCGCTTCCTGATGCCAAACCATTTAGGTAGAAATGGAAAAGCAACTTTGGGTTAATGTAGCTGTAATAAGATGATATGTTGACAAACCAACATGGCTAAGTTTAGCCCTGTAGCATTTCCATTTACTGAAAACAAATGTTGGTGTAGCGCCTTAGCTAGTTTCTGCTAAGTATGCTGGTAAAGTGCTTAGCATTAGCTACTGCTAAATACCATGGCGGTAAAGCAATTTTGTTTTAACCTCTTATAAGCTAAGCTGGTGTAGCGTTTTAGTGTTAGCTAGTGCTAAATAAAGTGTTAGGGTTATGGGTAGTTTTAGGATTAGCCTATGCTAAATAGTGAAATGTTACACCAACATTGAATTTAGCATTAGCTGAATTAGTTATACATTTAGCATTGTGTAACAATGTCAAGTTAAAATGTGTAACATTTTAACTTTAGCTTCTGCTAAATACAATGTTGTGTGTTTAGCAGAAGCTAATGTTTGTTTAGCGTTTTAAAGCTTTTATTCATGGTGAGTCCTTTATGATAGCGCAACTAGGCTTTTAGCCTTTCAGTGAGCTCTTTAGCCTTTCAGCTAGACTTTTAGCCTCTTAGCCTTTCAGCTGGCCTTTTAGCTTTTCGGCTAGCTTTTCAGCTAGCCTTTTAGCCTTTCAGCTAGCCTTATAGCCTTTCAGCTAGCCTTTAGCCTTTCAACCAGCTATTTAGCCTTTGAGCTAGGCTTTTAGCCTCTTAGCCTTTCAGCGAGCCTTTTAACCTTTCAGCTAGCCTTTTAGCCTTTCAGCTAGCCTATTAGCCTTCTAGCTAGCTGTGCCTCCCACTGTGTTTTGCGTCATGTTATGTTGTGACTGTTTTCCTCTCTTGGATGAAATCAGTCGGATCTTTAGCCGTTTTTGTTCAGGTGTTTGTCGGAGACTTTCAGCCTGCGGTTTTTCTAACAAGTTCATCCCTCAGAGAATCTCAGCAGCGCAGAGGAAAATAAAGATATGAATGAAATGACTGAACTACAAGGTTCAGAAAAGAAATAAAATATTTTTATTATTTCATCCAGATCCAGTTCAATCCGACCAGAACCGTTTGGGTTGCTAATGTGACAAGGAAAAGACTGGACAGTTTTATAATCTTTAGTGTTTTGGACTTTGGCTGCTTGTTTCATCGTTTTCAGCCTCCAGTGATTCATTCTGGTTTTAAAACGTTGTTAAAGTCGGAGGAGGAACCAGAAACTTCCTGCTTGCTGCGTTTGTTCCTCTCTGCCCACGTTTTCAGTCCCAGTGAGATTTTTAAGAGATTCTTCTCATTGTTTGAATTTCACAGAAGTTTCCATGTTTTCTGCAGTTTTCAGTTTGTTTTTGCTTCTCCATGACTTGCAGAGTCTCGTTGACAGCAGAAAGTAAAACCTGAGAGTCGTTTTCCTCCGTTTGGTTTCTGTCCTCCTTGTTTTTCTGTTTCTGTTCCAGGAATTTGATGCTCTTATCAGAAAAGCTGCAAATCTTCATGCATTCCAGTCGAAATCTAATCTGAAGTCTGTTTATCCTGCAGAAAGAATTTCATATTTTCAAAGTGTTTTTTTCTTAGTGATGGATTAAAAACTGGGTTTTGTTTTGACAGAATCTATCTGACCAGTTATTTCAGCAGAATCACATCACGATTCTTCAGGCCTGAACCTAAAAACAGAACTTTCTGACTGATTTGTGTTTCGCATGTTGGTGTCAAACAGGTTTCTGAGCAAACAGCCGGCAGGTTGTCGGTACCAAACCCAACAGGTTGTCGGTACCAGACCCAACATGCAGGATGACACATCGGGGCGGAGACGGCAAACTGGAGAGCCAGGCTGTTTTATGAACACAGACTCAAATATTTATTTGAAATTACATTCAATTTAGTTTGTTGATAATGTGGTACACTAGTGGAAAAAATAAGTACAATTGTGATTAAATGTTTTATTGGGCTGATAGTTGCTACTGGGCTTTATGTTTTTATCGTTTTATTTATTTATTTTTTTGTTTGGCCATGTGACAAAGAAAACAAAAGATAATATGATTTTCTCTGGTTTCTAAAAGCCAGAATCCTGAATATTGGCTGAAATTCTCAATCGGTTCATTCCTGGAGTAAAAATAAATTGATCAATAAACATCATATTTCAGCAGAAATCATGTTTTTCTCAACAAAAACAGCAAATTGTGACTGATTATGATGAACTTTGTGTTTTAAATTAAAACTCCCATGAAATACCAAATTAAACATAAATATTCTTTTTATTTGCAGACCAGGAATTGAACCTACAACTCTCTGGATGTTGCAGTTTTATACTAAACAGAGGATCAGGAAGTTTTTTCATTTATAAAAATCAAAGTTTTGTCCAATTTAGCAGAAATGCCAACAGATCGAGACGCATCATTTCCTGTTGGGTTTCCACAACAAAAATATTAAATTTACACAAATTTCACATATTTCTGACTCGTTTACATATATTTTTATGTGGAGAGATCATTTCAATAACTTCCAGCAAATAGCATAGAGCAAGCGCTCCTTCAAAATAAAAGCACATAAGTAAAAGTTTGGCCACATTTAGATTTTTTCAAAAATAAACAAAACCATTTTAAAACCCAACAGATATTAATTTCTCTCTCTGAATTGAAAGGGACATGAAATATGTTTTTATTATTTATGTATAAAATCAGAGCTGAAACCTGAGATCAAGACGACGGGGGATTTTCCTCCCACATCAGACCGAAACATGGAAGGTGAAACCGTCCTTTGTGTTCAGCCGCTGCAGAAACTAAATGTTACAGTTAGGAAGGGGCGGAGCCTCCAGACCGAGACAAACAAATCAACAGACAGATGAATTCAAGAAACATATTCCAGATGATTCTGGATTCATTTAATGAAAACTTAGTCAGTTCCAGGGGAAATACAATAATATATAAAAAAGCATAAAAAACAAGTTTTGTGACAAAATCATTGATAGCTTAAGAATGCATGGAAAATTAAGTGGAAGGAAAAAATAGGAAATCCAGTAAAAGGCCCAAACCTTTACATTGGCACCGTGATATTAAAGTTTATGATTTAAAATGTTTCTTTAATGGGATTTTTATTTCATTATACATTAAAGTTTAATTATGTTAAAGTAAACTATAAAGTTTAATTTATAGGATTTAGTTTTTTCTATTTTGTACATAATTTCATGACTTAGCCATGTTAGCTGAATCTAGCATGTTGGAAAACATTAACTAACTTTAATAAACATAAGCTAAGAGGCTAATAGCATAAATGCTATCAATGTCATGTTAATACTCCAATAACATTTTTATCTGTTTCTTTAATGTATGTTCATAATTTTATAGCAAAAACATTTTCATGTCTTTTTCTGCGTTTAATCATCAGGATCAAACGTTAATTGGATTTTCGTCAGTTATTGTCATGTTTCCATTGATTAGAGAAGAATTTTAATAAAGTCCAAACATCAACAGGCTTTTTAGAGCCTGGATGTTAAACTGCTAATATTAGCTTCAGTAAGAAACAGTGGAAATAAAAGTTGTGCCCGTTTGGCTGCCTGCGTTCGGGGCGGCAGGCAGGAACACGTCTGTAACAGCAGGGCGGCTCAGCAAACCGGTTCTGGTTCTGGTTCTGCTAAAACCGATGCAGCGATTTGTGCTTCAGCAGCGCAGCGATGGACGACGACCTGCTGACCTTCACCATGGCGCTCAGCGTCTGCGGCCTCTGGCCGGAGGAGGCCGAGGAGAAGTGGTGGCGCAGGTGGCGCTTCTGCTTGGGCGGCTTCGGGCCCGGGTCGACGTTCTCGGGGCCGCGGGTCAGCGCGGCCTTCGGCGGCGCCGCCAGCAGCTGCAGGATGTCGGGGATCGGTCGCTCAGGTACTGCCAGGCCTTCTTCCCCGCCGTGTCCCTCACCTTCACGTCGGCGTTGAACTTCTTCACCAGCAGCTGGATGACGTTCTTGTGGTTGTGCATGGCGGCGATGTGGAGGGGAGTCTGACCCGCCGTCGACCTGGCGTTCACATCGAAGCTCAGGCCTTTCTGCTGCACGCCGTACCTGAAAGCAGAAAACATTTATAGGAAAAACAAGAAAATGTTTCACTTTGAAAATTTTTTATTCTGCTAGAAAAAAAAAGCATTTTCAAATTAATCTCCAAAATTTTCTAGAAAAAACTAAAAAATTTCTGACTTTGAAAAGTAAATATTTCCCAGAAAAAATTCTGAAATTTTCTGGAAAAAAATTAAAATTTTTCAGCGTGAAAAGTTGGAAATTTACTTGAAATTTTTGACAGAAATTTGACAGAAAGTTTGAGAGCAATCTCTGAAATTCTCTAAAAAAAAATTTATTAGCTAGAAAAGAAAATCTGAAATTGAGATGAAACAGATAATTTAATGAAAATGTTCAGAATGATTTTTAAAACCCTCTAATGATCTAAATAATCTATAGAATAATTGATTCTAACAGCTGCAGCTCGATGGCTGAGGAAATATTTCTAACGTTGCATTAGCATGCTGACGCTGAGCCAAGCCAGATTCCAGCGTCAAACTGAAAGCGGCTGCAGGACGCAGGCGTCCCGGCCTGTCGACTCACCCCAGGGTGTTGATCACTCGGTGGTCGCCATGTTTGGCCATCCAGTGCAGAACCGTGAAGCCGGAGATGAAGTCCTGCCGGTTGAGCAGCGAGGAGTCGGACCTGAACAGAGCGTAGATGTCGGGCCAGGCACCCGCCGCTGCCTTCACCATCCAGTGGTGCTCCTGGGGCTCCAGAGGAACCGCAGACTGTTGGCAACAGTCACATCCAGACTGTTAGCATCAACAAGGCAACGAGCCATAAAGACTCGACAAGAAAACTTTATATGAAGTGGAAAAATAAAGGTTAAATACGACCCAGAATGCCCTGCTCTGTACTCCACTTTCTGCTTTTGGAGCAGTCTATGGTCCGCTTGGCGTTCACATATGCCTTCAAACTGAACCAGGGTTCACTTCAGCTGGACCCAGACTGAGGTTGGCGTTTTGGGTCTGAACTGGACTAAGCAGGCAAACGAACAGGACTTGGATTAAAGCATATCCAGTGTTAGTCTGACCTTTCCAGCGTTGTGGGAGTGAAAGCTCTTCCTGGATTCCTTCCTCCCGCCCTCTGAGGCGTTGGGGCTGGGGCATCGCGGCGGCGTGGTGGAAGACGACAGCGACGAGGAGGACAGGTGGTGGGGAAGACTCAGCGAGGACGAGATCCGGTGCAGCCGTTCCAGTCTGGCGTCCTCCGGTCCTCCACCGGCTTCCTCCTGGTCCAGGTCGGTTCCCAAGCTGCGGCAAATCCGGTTCCTCAGCCGGCTGCTCATCCGCCGAGCCGCCGGCGAGCGGAGCTTCACCCGAGGCGAGTCGATGGAGCTGCTGCTCGACTTCATGTCATCGTAGAGATCATCTACAAGACAGGAAACTTTAGCTTCACTAAACCAAACAGACCTGCAGGGTTTAGATGAGCCACAGACTCATTGCCTCTGATCTGCAGAACCTGAATGACCCAATTATTCTACAGGTGGTGCAGCAGAGGCTCAGCTAAAGGTTTCAGGACACCGGGCCTCCAGGCACCCCTGCACCAAACACATTAAAACTATAGCAGAAGCTAAAGCTAAGCATAAAAAAATCTATCCCAACATAAAGCTAGCCACTCAAACACATTGTAGAAGTAGCAGAAGCTAACGCTAATCTGCCAAACACATTAAATTTAAGACAACAATGACGGGTCTCAACTCGGACCTGTGGACTGATTGAGGGACGACCCTCTGGACGCAAACTGCTGGTTGTCATTCAGATGGTCGCTGGACAGGAACGGCTGCAACTTTCCACTGGGAGGCGACTCGTCGTCGCAGAGATTCCCCATCGACTGATGGAACGGCATTTTCAGGTTGGAGCGACGGGCCGGAGGCTCCGGCTTGGTTCTGTTGGACTCCTGCAGAACTTCCAGAGAAGCCGCAGGTTCATCTGTTCATGGACGACACAAACAGTTCAACGGATCACTGAATATGTCAGGAAAACCTTTCGCATAAATCGGCACAGACGTTTCAACTGTTTGAATAAAAACATTAGCCAGTGAAAATTCAAAATGGCCACCATGGTGTCAAAGAAAGTTTATTTTTGAACTAAATTTGCCCATCAATGAATGTTTCTGGTGTCAAATCATCCATTAAATCATCCTGACAAAAGATGGCTGCCAAAGAAAATGTATTTCAGAACTAAAATCTCAAATTATATATATATGTATATATATATAAATCATATGTACAATGCATAATTTATCAGTAGTTTTTGGCAGTGGTTGGCACAGCTAACCAAAACGTTCGGCTCACAATATAAGAATTGTAGCTGTGCTAATGCTAAATCACCAAACATTAAGCTAACACTCCACTGCTAAGCACATTAAAAAATCCAAGCAGAAGCTAATGCTAAACTGCTAAACATATTTTTAAATATTAGCAGACACCATGCTAAACACATAACATTCATCCAAGTCATGGCAATAACGGCGGCCATCTTGAAAAATGGTTGTTATCCTGAAATTAAAGTGGCTAATAGGAAACAGCAGTTTTTTGTTTGTATTCACATATATTATTTTACAGTAACATGCAGAACTAAAATAAGTCAAATGAAGAAGAAGGCTCTGCTGGACCTGCTCTGAAGGTTCTGGAGGACCCGGACGGAGGCCAGTCGCTGACCGATGACCTCACAGCCGACGATGACCTCACAGCCGACGGCAGGTCGAAGACGTCGCTCTGGCTGGACGACAGCCTCTGGTTCCGTTTGGGCCCGACTGGTTGAGAGGTCTGAGCAGCAGGTCTGTCATGGTGGCGTTCCATGGTGAATTCTGCTTCCAGAGGCAGACTGCGTCTCATGGAATCCACAGGTCCAGGTCCAGGTCCAGGTCCAGGTCCAGGTCTGGACCTGGACTCTGAGGGGAATCGAGATGCCAGAAGTTCAACGTCTGAGTTCTGGATGTAGATCTGAGGAACCTTATTCCCTGAGGAAGAGGAGGGAGGAACCGCGGGGTCTATGACACTCGGTGAGGAGGCAGACATGGCCCTCGCCACGTCACTGAGAGGGGCGTTCAGGGCCCGCTGACCTCCTGCTGAGCCACGTCTGATCTGGACATCCTCCTCTTCTTTGTCGTCATCCTGAGAAACGGCTGATCTGTAGCTCTGCCTGTATCTGAGGTGGCGGGCCGGAACCTGATGGAGCTGAGGAGCGGGTTCATGTCCTCCAACGGGTTCTGGGTCCTGAGGAGGACTCTGCTGTCCTTTGGGGGATTCAGGAACGGATCCTGGAAGGAGATTTTCTGTTCCCTACGTAGTTCTGGACTTTTGGGAATCTGCTGTCCATGGAGAGGTTCCAGATTCTGGGGGACCTGCTGTCCTTTAAGAGGTTCTGGGATTCCAGTATTCTGGACTCTGGACCGCTGTCCTTAAGAGGTTCTAGATTTTGGGGGACCTGCCGTCCTTAAGAGGTTCAGATTCTGGGGGACCTGCTGTCCTTTAAGAGGTTCTGGTATTTTCTGATGTACCTATGTAGTTCTGGACTCTGGACCCGCTGTCCCTTAAGAGGTTCTAGATTTTGGGGGACCTGCTGTCTCTGGAAAGGTTCCAGATTTTGGGGCACCTGCAGTCCCTGGAGAGGTTCTGGGTTCTTCTCATGTACCCTATGTAGATCTGGACTCTTTGGGTTCCACTGTCCCTTAAGAGGTTCTTGACCCTGGTGGACCTGCTGTCCCTTAAGAGGTTCTTGACCCTGGTGGACCTGCTGTCCCTTAAGAGGTTCTTGACCCTGGTGGACCTGCTGTCCCTTAGGAGGTTCTGGATTCTGGTGGACCTGCTGTCCCTTAAGAGGTTCTTGACCCTGGTGGACCTGCTGTCCCTTAGGAGGTTCTGGATTCTGGTGGACCTGCTGTCTTCTGAGAGGTTCTATGTTCCTCTCAGGTTCTGGGGGACCTGCTGTCAAAAGACACTCTGGATTCTGGGGGATTTGCTGCCCACTGAGGTATTCAGGTATTGGATCCTGATAAGGAATCTTCTGTCCTCTGTGTAAATCTGGATTGGAATCTGGAAAATAGATTCCCCGTCCTCTGATATGTTCTGGAACAGGGTCGTAAGACATTTGCTGTCCCCTAAGAGGTTCTAGATTCTGGGGGATCTGATGTTCACAGAGATATTCTGGAATGGGATGCTGATAAAAGATGTTTTGGGCTTCTGGGACAGGATCCTCAAAAGAAATGTCCCGTCCCCCAAGGTGTTCTGGTATCTGTTGAGGAGCCCGTTGTACCCTGAGAGGTTCTGGATTCTGGGGGACCTGCTGTCCCCTGCGAAGTTCTATATTTTGGGGAATCTGATGCCCACTGAGGTATTCTGGAATGGGATCTTGATTATAGACGTTCTGACCTCTGAAGGCTTCTGGGACAGGGTCTTGATAAGAAATCTCCTGTCCCCTGCGGTGTTCTGTTATCTGCGGGACATGATGAGGAATCCAATGTCCTCTGAGTGGTTCTGGATTTTGAAGGACCTGATAAGGAATCCGTTGTCCCCTGAATGGTTCTAGATTCTGGGGGACCTGCTGTCCACTGAGATATTCAGGAAATGGATCCTGATGAGGAATCTCCCATCCCCTGAGGTGTTCTGGATTTTGAGGGGCCTGATAAAAGCTCTGCTGTCCTCTCGGTGGTTGAGATGTGGGAGGTTGAGAACCTCTCAGAGGAACTCTGCTGGGGTCCTGATAAAACACATTCTTTCCTCTGATGGGTTCTGGGACACGACTAATCACATATCCTCTTGGATCCTGGTGTGGGGGATCCCATCTTCTGTTGGGGGCTGGGAAATGACTTTGATGAGGGACCTGCTGTCCCCTAACGGGTCCTGGAAACTGGTCCTGATAGTTACCAACATGTCCTCTGAAGGGTTCAGCGATGCGGTTCTGATGAGAGGTCTTCTGTCCTCTGACGGGATCTGGGGCGTGGTCCTGACGGCTGACGATACATCCTTTATTGGGTTCCGAGATGGTTCCCTGATTTGGGGGATCCCACCTTTCACCGGGGTCTGGGGCGTGGTCCTGACGGCCGACGATGTGTCCTCTGACGGGCTCAGGAACGGTTCCCTGATGGGGTTTGTCCATTCTTCTGGACGGCATATGGGGGGTGTCTTGTTGCCTTCCAGTGGGTCTGGGTGTGAAAACATGTCCTCCAACAGGTTGGTAGTCCTGTCCTCTGATTGGCTGTGGACAGCGGTTCTGATGGGGGGCTTCCTGTCCTCTGATTGGCTGTGGAATGAAACTTTCTTCAGGCATTTCCTGCCATCTGATTGGCTCAGGGATGAAGTCCTGATGTCTCTCAGCTGGACCAGGAGCAGAATCCAGCCGGTTCGGTTCCTGAGTTCTGCTCTGATAAGGAATCTCTGAAAGTTCTGGGGCCCGGTTTCGTACCTGGACGGGTTCTGGACTCGGGTCTTCCCTCTGTGTCTCCACTGCGATTCCAGCTGCAGGCAGGGCGGATTCCGCTCGGCGTCTCCGACCGGACCCGGTTCGGCCGAGTCTCTGCCCGAACCGTGCACATATCCCCGGTACCGCTTCCTGAGGATCACGGTGGAAACCCCGTCGATCTTCGACACGGTTGCCACGGAGTTGACGAAACTCTTGAAGCGGTCTCGGTTCCCGACGTTGTCCGGATTGTCCCGAAGGAAGGGCAGAAAGTGGGCCAGCAGTTCGGTGTTCTTCGCCGACCCGCCGCAGCGCTGCAGGAAAACCAGAACCTCGTCCTGAGTGAAGTCTGTAGCCATGCTGGTTCCGTCCAGGTTCTGCTCGGCTCAAAGGTCGGGCTGCTGTTTCTGTCAGCGGGTCTAAGCCCCGCCCACCGCAGGAATTTAACCACAAACTCACCTGCTGCGTTCCAGCAGGTGACCCGGATGTCCAGCAGACTCACCTGGTTGATCAAACACAGGATTTTATTAAGAAAAAGAAACATTTGATCAATATTAAATTGATCAGAAAATGGATCAATTCAAAGCTCATTTTTTTCTTTCTGCCACATTAAAGTTTGTTTCTGTTCTGATTTCTATGGAGTGCTGACAGTGCCACAACGTGAATATTATTTACACACTAACTTCATCATCAGCTTGTGAAATAACACTGTTTATATCAGTAATCTATTAGATACATGGATTAGTTTTCAGTCATAAAATATACATTTGTATTTAATATTTATGTTGTGAAATATCATGTTCCTTTCAAAATAAAAGAAAAATCATATTTGATTCATGTTTTACAATAGAAACTGTTTAAAGTCAGAATTTTTCACAGAATGTTGACGTTGCCCGACATCAGTGAAGCTCTCATGTTTTTCCAAAATCAAACTTTGAGTTTTTTTCAAACTTCACTGAATAATTTTCACCCTGGAGTCTAAAATATTCAGACGTTCAGTTTTCATTTAAACTGCGTTCATAGTAAAAACTTCATGTCCACAGAAACACTGAATGCATCAAAACTGAAGTATTTTCTCTGGTTTCTGTTCAATCAGAACAAAGAAACCTGAAACATTTCAACATTTTCCTTCTTTAAAGCCTCACATCTCCAACATTAAACAGCAGAAACAAAATGGACACATTGACCCAGCAGAAGCTGCTGAAGGTCAAAGTTCAGGAGATTTTATGATACAAGCTTTAATTTTCAGTTTGTTTGGAGTTTAAATTTAGGTTTCGTGGCTCTGCTGGATCCAAACTCACCATTTTATGATTTTATAAGAATCTACATCACTTACTTCAGACAACATTTCAATAAAGATCAGATTATATTCAGATCATACTGTTTGAGCCCGGGGTGTCCAAACTGTGGTCCCGGGGCCGTTTGTGGCCCTTGGGTTGATTTTCTGCGGCCAATCAAAAATGATTCAAATTTGTCCCGTTGTGCAGGCAGAGCTTTCATTTGTAATCAGGGTAAAAATTGTGATTTTATAACCGAAAAGTAAATGAAACATAAACAGATGAGCTGAAAAAGTGCTTTTATTGAACAAAACTTCAGGCGGAGATTAAATAAGGAGTCGTGTTTCTGAAACTCATTTCACAGCTGGAGGAAAACGGAGGAGTTTCAACAAGTCAGTTGCGCCTCCTGCTGGTTTTCTGAGATTTTCTAGATTGTGGAAAAAATCCTCTTGGAGGTGAAGGAACTTCTGTGTCCAGGTTTCCTGTTGTATAAAATTAAATATCTTTGGGAACCATTTTATAATTCCTCTTGTTTTATTTACTTCAGAACGGACCAGAATTTGCTTACAGGTGATGATAAAACATTTAAAACATGCCAGTGTGAGACGGTGAAGGTTAAAAAGCTGGGAGGTTTTGTCTCTTCCCGGTTTTCCGGCCGGTTTTCCGGCGGGTTTTCCGGCCGGTTTGCGAGCGTTCAGCCATGAAGCCGTTGGGAACTGGAAACAGTGGTCCGACTGCTACAAAGTGCAATGAGCTGCGTTCAGAAAGAGCGGCGGCGGCGTTACGGTGCTGATGTCAGACGCTCCTCAATGTGCGTTAAGGTGAAACATGTGAGTCCTTCGGGTTTCGGGGCGGTCCGTTTTCCTGGAGGCTGGCTTACCTGTGCGGGAGCAGAGCGCGGTTTTACGGACGCCTTTGCTGGAAAACGTGGCTGAAGGTTCGATTCTTTGCAGACGACTCTGTTCTGTCTTTGGACCTTGTTTTGTCCGGTCCTAAGAACGAACGGACCTGTTCAGGTCCCTGAAAGCACCGTTTGGGTTGTTTAAGGACAGTCGGATAAAAAACTAGATATGGACGTGTGGATCTATCTTGTTACATCACAGTGATGTCACAGCGGTGGACCTGATGGAGTGGGCGGGGCTTAGCGGCAGGCTTGGCGGCAGGCTCTCGGCGAGTCGCGCCAGCTGCTCCTCCCGCTGCCGGATGAGGTCATCGAGCTGGCGCTGGCGAATCAGGAGCGAGGGTTTGGCGCTGACGAAGCGGCGGTAGTCGTGGAGTTGTTCTTCGGTGAGGTAGCCGGTCAGGATGGCGGTGACGACGCGCTGCCGCCGGTCCAGGTTCTCCTTCAGGTCCCGCGCGTCTTCGGTTTGACGCAGGAGCAGCGAACGCTTGTGATGAAGGGAGTCCTGAGGAAGAGGAGGAGCAGAGAAGTATCTGTTAGCTCATGTCTTTGAGCTGTGGACCGGCCGGCCACACATTACATGCGTGGACAGCTTGCCGTACGTCTCACCCTCTCCTCAGCAGCGTCTTCAGTCAAACCTCCGTCTCTGTCCAGGGAAAGCAGAGACTTGTCCACCCGGGTCAGGCGGCTGCACAGAGACAGCAGCAGGTTGACGATCCTCTCCAGGTCTCCTGCAGACAACGGCGATGATCAGCTGATGACTGGACCCCGCTCTGA